TTTATCTCTCACGCGGGCGCATTTTGTGGTCGGACTTTGACCTGAGGCTGTGAGAAGCGCAGCCGAGTTCAAGTCATTCTCCTCTCTCCGGCGTTTATGGCTCCCCAATTTCATCTCGCCTTGAGCCGTATTCGGGTCTTTTAAAATCAAACCATCAGCTAATTAGTGTTTGCGGTTGCCTGTAACTCCCCCCTTTATCGTCGTTCCGGCGCCACGGACCTTTGAGCTTGTCATGAACTTCTAAGCAGTAGAAAATACGAAAGTCGACTGTTAGCCATAATTTATTGGTTTCGTCCTCCTGCTCCTCCTCCGCCGTCCACATTCTTTTTGTGAATGCCATTTGGCTTGCTCGGAAAGTCTGTGTATTTAGACAAGAAAATTGATTGACTTTGCAGACTGCAATGTTTATCGGAGCTTACGAGTACAAGTCTTCCCAGGTCTGAAGCCAAAGAAAGCCAATCCCCCACCTTTTTCCTTGTCAGGGATCCTGATCCTTCTCGGTTGCTATTGTGGTAGCCATCAATGCGTCATTGCTGAAAATAACACAAACACACAAAAGGCATTATCATTGGCATCTTTCCGCAATAAACAACATGACCTCGACCACGCAGTCTTGGGCTGCTGCTACACAATCATGGGCGTCGTGGTTGCTCGACTCCTACGCTTCGTCGGTCTCGCCCATGGCCACTGACACTTCCTTTCGACACAATGAAGAGTCCCATTCTACCTCCGAGTACTCCTCCCACGACGACGGCCATTCGTCTATGTCCTCTGTCTCCATGTCTTCCGCCTATGGTCCCTATGTTAAGACTGGCCGCGGTGGCGCTGGCAACTTCACCTGGGAGACGGACGTCCAACTCGCCCCTCGATCTACTTCGCCTATTGATCTCGAAGCGAATCGGCCACCACAACATGCATCCCTAGCAGAGCGCCGCAAAGCAGCAGCTAGGCTGGAAAGCATCAATACGCATGATACGAGGCCCTTGCGCCAGCACTCAGCTCAGTATCTGTCTGCTGGGCGTGGCGGAGCTGGGAATTATGTTGTCGCCGACGTGAAATTTCCCCAGCGAAGCCCGAGTTTACCAGCCAGTTTCACATCTCCCGCTCAAGCGAAACCTCCTAGTCCACAGAGCCAAAATCTATATCCCGCCGGAAACGCCGGAAGAGGAGGAGCTGGTAATTACGCCGCAGCAGCAGAGGCCAAAGGCCGGGTTGAATCAGAAAAGGATCAGGAAGAGAGACGTGCCGCTGAGCAGAGAAGAGGCCAGATTGCTGAAAAGGTAGACGGCTTGCTACAACCTCCCCCAGGCGCCTGGCTCGGTCGGGGACGAGTGAAGAGTGAGTCGATGTATGAAGATGTTTGAGTTGCCTGCCAGATTCTTCTGCAGACGAAACTTTTGAAGAATCCACTGGCTGGTGGACCTTACAAACATGCTTCTTGGACGCCTGATCTCGCCTCTCACAGTTGATGAGACGGACAATCAGAGTCAGCAATGAGCCAATCCTCCAACACACTACCGGGCAGGCCAGGCACCCCCACGAGGGCCAAAGAATGGATATGACTTCCAAAACGAGACTCAAAACTGCCCTAGTGCAGCCTTAAGCCGCCCTCGGGATTTCAGTGTCCGGCAGTCGAATACGCAGCTCTCGAGTTGGCCCAGCAACGAGATTGACACACCATCAGCCTAATATGTCTATGTCTGACGTTATCTTCGATGGATAGTTGTCAGAGTGGTACATACGGCACTTTTTTTGCGAGATTTGCATCGGTGACGTTACCGCAGGCTGGGAAACTTCAACTACTCCCAGCCCAGGACGTATGGCTCTATCTATGGACATGATTTGCGCGAATAGTTGGTTGTTACCCCCAAAATCTGACAAAAACAGGCTTTTTGAGGTGTGTCAATGGACCAGATTCGGCCAGGCAGTGACGTGGGAGTGCTGCTCAGAAGGCATGCTGGGCAGAGGCGCGAGCATCTCTTAGGAACGATGAATGATATTGTTCAGACTTGGTATTAGCCTAGTCAGCTTCGGATGAGTCTGATGGAGACGACTTTTCATCTAGTGCCCTTTGAGATGAACCAGGCAGAATATGAGAATATACCCTGCTCAGCCTACCCCATGTACGATACGAAGATGAGGTGAACCAAAGTCTACGCTTGAGGAGCCGTTGGACGAGGGTAGCTTGGTACAAAGGACTACCAAAATGAAAAGTCCACGGCAATCTGCCTCCAGAAATGATGGGCTGGTACATAGCCCATAGAACAAAATATACACTTGAAGAATCACATTTTCAACTCCCTGAGGCATTCCAGTCTGAATAGGTGCGGAGGGTGAGGTATACTCCTGGAGCTCGAGCGTGGATGATCGATCCTTCAGACCGGAGTCGATCCATCGCACCAATCTCGGACACCCTTGTTGTGCCCGGAGATCCGGCCACTTATTATCGAGACACCAGCCTCACTCACAATTTCATCGGTGACCACGCATATGATGCAGGTTATGCTAATGGCAACACAGAAACCTCATCACACTCCCACATGCCGCCCTGTGATTCTTGTCGGAAGACTTAGGATTGCTCCGAAGGGACACGCTAAGAAACTTGGCGGTCTTGGCAAAACTCGATCGCTCTCGAAGCTGCGTCTTTTCATCCCTACCGTTTCAAGTCACGTGAGAGTCATACCATACATATTACGGAAATGAGCTTTGCCATTTCAGGCGATTAGGAAAAACCTCGCGAGCGATCCAGTTTCATGTTTGCGGAAGTGGAGCAACTGCTAGAGAGGGCACATCCTTCATGCTTCATCAGCGACATGTCGGCTACGTGGAAGTTGCCCTTGCAGATCGCAAATCGCAAAATGTCCTTTCTTTCCTTGGTTTATTCACTCCCAGCCATCCTTGTGCTGACAGGACGAAGTACTCTTGAGGGATAGGTTTGAATGCATACTTGTTGGCTGAATACAGGGTCCCGAAACGCTATACCATGGGCAGCACCAAACGTGGCGAACCCAAATCTTCCCATGATTCACACCCTACTCGGGTTCGTACAAATACGACAAGCACATCTAGACACAACGCCAAGACATCCTCGGGGTGCTGGACTTGTCGAATGCGCCATCTCAAATGTGATGAGAAGAAGCCATTTTGCCAGAGGTGCAGCAAATCTGGACTGGCCTGTGGCAGATACGGTCTGAGATTGAGATGGGCAACGAACACTAGTACCAATACCAATGCAACAAGCTCCTCCTTCTTCTCCTCCTCCTCTTCTAGGTTCATGGATCGTATCATACCTGCCGTGCCAGTACAGCTGGAAGATACCGAGGCGCTACGAAACGTTTCTCCAATCGACATCAGTGCTATGCTCGACACGCTCGAAACCACCACGGATGAAGCTACCTTTACCCAAACCTTTGGTCCGTTTTCAGTATTTCGTGTAGAATCTCGCAGCTCGAAACCTCTGGGACAAGCGCTTACAGGTGTTAATGACACCAATCACCCTCCACCTGGTCCTGGAAATGGCTCTGAAGGAGTGTCGAGAAGAGAGATCACAACGTCTCCAGAGCCTCACAGAGATTATCACTCACCAAGTATGCTGCGTGATCTAGACGCTCTCATTCTACCCGGCTGCAGCAGAGAACTAATCCACCATTGGATGACGTTCTTCGCTGAGAACATTATCGTGATAGACACGGCCTCGAACCCCTGCTGGACTGTCGCCTTTCCCATGGCAATGAAGGGAGTCTGTGGCATGGCTATGAAGCCGAATGGTAGCACCGCTCTCTTCCACGCACTATGTGCAGTGTCCGCCCACAGTCTTCTACAACTCAACGGGCCTAGTTCTCGATATCTCGAGCTCGCATTACAGCATGAGCAAGCCCTCTTTCAAACTCTTCGACACTTCATATCCCTACCTCAAGATGACCAGACAGCGGCCGAAGGGTTCGACGGCATATTGATGGCCATATTATCTTATATGGTGAAATTTTCCGTCTCAGGCCAGCCAGGAGAGTGGCGACATCATCTTCGCGCCGGGCTCGAATGGTTGACTAGTAGATGCACACGAGATCATCCTCGTGGCCAGTCAGACCCAGGAGTTCACCCCAGCATCACGTATTTATTCTTATGCGGTGCCGTCATGGGGAACGTGGACGTTTCTTCCGACACTTTGGCCGCTCTGAAAATATCATCGACATATGACGGTGACGACCAAGAACAAGATCAAGACGACGCAGTTCCGGTTTTCGCCATGAAGCATTCGACATTTCGAAACATCATTCGCATCAGCGAGTTGCGCCGTCGTGCCCGGCAAGGCTGGCAGCCGCTCGATCTCCACGAGGTCGAGGTACTCGAAAAGCGCGTGTTGGCGCAGGTTCCCAAAGATAGCCACAGCCAGCTGTTCGAACCTACACAGACACAGACACAGACACATGCACACACAGTCCCACCTACTCACGAGTATGAAAGTGATTTGTCATGGTCGCCATCAGAGACGCGAATGTTCGGACAGATTCCCTGCAAAAGTCAAGTTGTGTCCAAACTCAGATCGACACACACCCCCCATCATCCGAATCAGAGGGAGCAAATGGCTCGCCACCTGAGCAATGTCTACGAGTACGCGACCATGATATATTTCCAACGCGGACTTTTGAAGATGCCACTGTGCGCGGCACAGAGGTCCGTCGGAAAGGCTCTAGACAGTATCCAGGCCATGGAGGACATTAGCAACAACTCCTGCGGTTGTCTACCTGCATGGTTCGCCATCGTGATCGGTAGCGAGTGTGAAAGTGACGCGCATCGAGAGTTTATGATTTCTTGGTTTGATCGCAAAAGGCGCCATGGTCTCAAGATCATGAATGTCGCGTGTACGGTTGTGCGTCTTGTGTGGGAGAAGAGAGCGAATCCGGGAAATCAAGACTTGTATTGGGAAGATGTTGATTTGAAGGAACATGGGCTAGATGTGATTTTCTGGTAAATTAATCATTTATCATTGCATGAAAATCTCACGACATTTCGTCCTGCGCCGCGATGGCTCGCGCGACCTCCAGAATTCTATCGACTTCAGCGCCGAATCCATTCATGTGGCCTGTTTCGAGAATGTCATGGTTTGCATATGGCGAAACACACAAAGATATCTCATTCCCCTCGACCTCGGCCATTTGATCCACAAACTCGACAATCTCGGGGTACAACAATTCCAACGCACCCGCGTGGACCCATACCCTGGATTTCGTGGCGAACGGGTTCCCTAGGAAACTGATGTAAGGGGACTTGACGTCCACAATGTGACTATTTTTCGGGACCAACGCATGTGCCCCCCACGTGATGAATGAGACGGGGATATAGTCGGTCTTGAAATTCTGCATCCGACTTATTCGAGTTGGGTCGTCGTATCCTTTGGAAACATCTATCCACGGACTCCAGAGCAAGACGATCCTGGGCTCGGGGAGATTGAGGGTCGGATGACAAGATAGGTACCGCAGAAATCCTATGGCGAGATGGCCACCCGCGGAGTCGCCCGAGACGATGACGTTGTCGCTGGAATATCCAAGTCCCAGGAGATGCACGTACGCGGACACGGCATCTTGGAGTGCGGCGGGAAAGCGCCCCTGAGGCGTACACGAGAGCCTGTAGTCGAGGAAGAGAGCGTGTGGCGCCACGTTGTGTTGAAGGAGTTTCTTGGCCATGAAGCCGCAGTCTGTTGGGTGGCTGCTCCCCACGACGTACGCGCCACCGTGGAAGTGCAGAATGACTTTTGATCGATTGTTCGATGTCGATGTCGAGGCTGGTGGCGGTGGTGGACAGGGATACCACGTTGCACGCACAGAGGTTGGGCGAATCTCTCCATCGTCCAGTGGACTCAGGTACATCTTTTCGGCGGAGGGGTGGATGGTGACGTCGTTTGGAAATCCGGGTTCTGGTCCCAAAGGTTGAGGTGTGACCGGTCGAGAGCGTGCTTGGTATTCCAGAAACCACCGAACAACGACGATGAAGGTCGCTTGGTGCCATGAGTATCCGGGGTGGACTCGATACCGGGGCGGGATATGTTTCAGCATCACGACTGGAAGAATGAAGATGAGTCGAAGGAGGAGGGTAATCATGTTGTCGTCGTCGTTTCTCGTCGTTTTGTCACGTCCTATGGAGAAGCTGCTCGTATATGTGAAGATGCTACGAGGGTAGACCGACAGCAAGCTAGATGATATATCGGGTAGATTCAAGACGTCAAAGGGGGGAAAGAGAGCATAGCCTTTGCAAGAGAAAAAGTAAGACCAGTGGAATCCTGAGCAGACATACCCTGCTCTATTATATTCGACCTCGCAATCTCTCGAGACAGGTTTAGCGGTCTCTTCCTTTCCGGAATACATGCAACTAGCCTCGACATGCATGCCGTATTCCCACTAACTGTTTCGGTAAATTAGGAAGGAGAACACGATGCCAAGACGGCGCAGAGACTCCACCTTAGACATTTTCACCTTATCAAATCGACTCAATTGTTTGGGTGGATGAGTGCGAGATAGTATGATCGTCCGGACCACAACCTACGATATCGACGAGCGACAATAACAGGATAATGTCATCGAAGATAAACTAGGTCTATCATCTACCGAGTCCACCGTAGACTGACTGCTCTTTTCTTTTCCTAGGTAACATCAAGATTCAAGGTCCCTGTCAACCTCTCTGGCAATAAGCATTCCGGCCTCAATGGCCCCATCGATGAAGCCCCTCCACCCATCGCAATAGTCGGAGCTAGCAAACTTGAGATTCCCCAGTGGTTCTTGTAACGCGGTGAGGTACGTGGTCATGTACCCTGGCGAAAAAAGGGACCATGTTCCTCTGGAGTAGGGATCCGTCACCCAGTCCGTAGAGATCTATAGTATACGGCATTGGTCAAGAGGTGGTGACGACGACGATGATGGTAGTGATGACAGTGATATATTGGATCTCTTGGACCCGGGAGAGAAAAAAACAAACAACTCACCATTCGATCAACTTTCAAATCCGGATGGAGAGACTGGGCATCCTCGACGACCTCCTTGGGCGACGTTTGCGAGATCCTCCCACCCGAGAAATAAACGAGATTTGTTGTGTGACTGTCTGGTGACGCAGAATGAGCGTCCCCGGAAACCATGGTTGCGATATCGCCTTTTTGTCGTAGGGCAGCCCATGTCCGCCACTGCTTGCCCTCCGCTCGCATCCACGCTTTCTGCGTATTATTCACCCTCGCCTCTTTGAAAGCTCGAGTCTTTTCATCGGGGAGGGTCGGGACGAACGCAACGTCCTTGAGAACGGTAAGAGGAATTGTACAGATGATCTGTTTGGCCCTGAACACACGTCCATCTGTTGTCTGCACACGGCCCTCGGACGAGTTGGTATAGTCGATCGTCTCAACGGGTGCGGAGAACGCATATGACAAGGTCGTCGACAGCGTGGCGGTACTGTCGTTCACTCTGAGAGACTTATTAGCATTGACTGCGTCGTCAAATATGTGCTTGGCCAGTTCTGTCTGCCCGCACGACAATTTGTACCGGGCCATGTGTGCCGTGTAAGCGTCGTGCGTGGCCCCTCCCAATACCCACCGCTGGAGGAGGTCGTAGTAGCTCGCTGTCCGGGCTGGGGGGCCGCTCATGAGCGTCGAGATCAGTTCGACCGCGCGTCGTGCTTCTTGCGAGACGGTACCGCGAACTTGGTCCAGACGGTCCGCCACGCTGAGAGAGTCGTACTTCTTGGCTGTTTCGAAATCGTGCAAGGCGGTATGTGGATACGGGACGAGTTCAGAGGCGTGTGCTCCGTCTGCGTTGTAGAAGGTCTGCAGCGCACCATCGAGCCATGCGTCCTATGCACCAAATGGATGGTTAGCAAGTGGAAGAAGGTGTGCGAGGACAAAAACAAACAAACCATGTCAGGGAGGTCAAAGTCCTTTCGAACCCCATCAATGATGATAGAAGACTGTGTCGATCCTTCGTACTGCTCGTAGGCGTCTTTGATCTTGTCTTTCAATCCGTACCGGACGATCTCAGACCACACAAAGGGCTGGTGCCAATGGACATATGCCCCTCCGAGATCGACGACGTCGCCTTCTGCGGTCACGGTTGTCCATGTACGACCGCCGATACGGTCACGAGCTTCGAGGAGAAGAACACTTCGTCCTAGAACGTCACCAAGTCAGTCTCGGTGTGATCAATGCTAGCTCAAACTAAGACAGGGCATAGATGATGAACATATACACCTTTAGCTGTGAGATCTCGGGCGGCAGTCAACCCCGTATACCCAGCGCCGATGATGATCACATCGTACAGAATCGAGGGGTCGGCGTCCGAAATAGGAGGAGAGATGACAGCTTGTGTAGGTAGTCCAGCTTTCGAACCCTGGGTTGGCGTGTATTCGAATCCTTCTGAAGTCGAGAGCATCTTAAAAAATTGGTGGGCGATTCGAGAATTGAAGTTGGACTTGTACTCAGCAGTGAGAGGACGACGGGTAACGACCAGATTTATAGACGATTCATACCTCCCTTATTGCTAACCACCACGACAGGAAAAGCAAAAGTGTATCGTGTTCGGGGCGTTTGATTGTGGCATTTTCTTTTACTACAGTAGCTCGACCGTGAAGCAAAGGACGCTATACCAGATGTACGCATTTGGACAAGTGCACGAAGCCACACGTCACATCGGACTAGGATGAGACCGGCCGAAGAGCTTCCCATGTCCCAAAAAAAGGAGCAAATAGTGATTTCGCATCTATTTGAGGCACTATCAACTCTCTACTGACTTGTCGTCAATCCTGTCCAATCATCCCGAGACCATTGAGAATTTCCAGGCTGAGAATTCCCCTCGCCACCCTCGTTCCCTTCTTTTAGGCGCTCTATCTCTCTTGCGAGCATTACAACCTCTCAATTGGTCTTGACCTTAAGAGGCCCCCTTGTCATCTTCGCATTGGCTTATGAAATCTTGCCATAGGGAGGCACAATCAGGCTGATGTCCGACTTGTTTGTGCTATACTTTCACTGTGAACACCGGAGCAAACCAGCTTTGGGTTAGACGCTAGAGAGCTGGTATCGGTTCCCTGCAAACAGGGGCACGGTCCGGCCTTTCAAGCTTCTGGCTTCCAAGGACCCTGCCTGAGAGTTGTCGCTGGGCGGCCCTTGGTCTCGCTGTTCAAGAAGTGCTCTGAATCGCCACCCCGTACAGTGTCCTGGCATGAGCAGCTTTGGCCCGAGATCGGTCAAGTCGGTCAAGGTGCTTTGCAGGCGTGACTCTGAGGCATCCGCCAGATGGTAGCCGCCGACCAAGGCATAGAAATCGTGCTGCCTTCTGGAAGCGGTCGAGAAAGTGTCCAGTACGTGGTTGGCGATATTGATGATACCGGCGTGCGAACAACCTGTGAAGACGACCAGGCCTTTTCCCTTGAGCCGGCACACAACAACCCTTTCTTCCTGGATTTCCTCATCCTTGAGCCAGGTCCCTTGCTCGCAGCCATGAGCTTTTTCGAATCTCAGACCACCGGCGATCCCGGTTTCGTAGGTAGTCTTTCTTGGGATCATGCCAGTCACTCCGAAGAAGCCACCCAGAATGGTCTCGGTAGCTGCGCGCTCAACGACGCAGGCTCCTGCTCCAGCGATTTCCTCAGGGCTGGGATCGGCTTCAAGGCAGATTGGACCAGCCGGGTGCGCTATTCCGCGATAGAGAGGTCGCTCAGGAGGAATGTCGACAGCAAGTTCCGATCCCGCTGAATTGCGCTGCGCCTGGGTTGTTCTCTGTCGATTGATCATTTCGATGGCCTTGAGTAAACCGCCAGAATGATCCCGATGCCAATGTGAGAGAAGTATAGTTTCAACAGTGCCAATGTCACCACCGCTGCCGTCGATCAAGCCGAGCCGTCTTACATTGCGCTCGAATGCTTCTGCTTCCGGGCCGGCGTCAAACATCAACGTATGGGTCTCTTCACCTTTTGTTGCAGACTGCGTAGACATTTAGCCACAAAGACGAGTAAGCGAAGTAGGAGGCTAGAACTTACCACCAGTAGGCAAAGTCCATGTGCACCACAACAAATCCTGTCCATCCTCATCTCCACACTGGCACCGCCACGAGAGTGCGTCCATTCTTGTTCTCCCTGGTGAGATACCAACGGCACACCTGTGAAACACCCGGGATGATGAACATCAGGGTGTCGAGATGGGCTGATAAGGTCGATCTCATCGTTGACGATCGCTGTGATGGCGATGGAATCGAGTTCGACGAGGCTGTTTTCCATTCTGGACATTCAATGATCAAAAATGAGTTTGCGGGATTGTTGAACTGCGGAAAACGACATTGACAAAGTAACTCCATCATCTTTAAATGTCTAGTTGCTTGCCACTCCAAGAGCGTTCGACTCATCAAAATGTCCACCAACCCAAGGCTGTGCGGAAATAAGTGGTGGTGTAGAGCCCGAAAGGAACATTACACTTGGCTTTTGCAACATCCCTTTGTAGTCGCCGAGTCCTCGGGTTCTTACAAATGCCCTCCGAATAGAATGGTGGAACATTTTGTGGTTATATCCACATCAATGGCATGACCTAAAACGAGCGGCCCGCGCGATATGGCGGACCGCACACCAAAAGGCCCACAATTCACCAAGTTTTGCATTGCACGAGACGAGGGCAGCACATCTGAAATGCCCGCTTTCAGCTTTGCTCCTCGTAAGTCCTGATGGAAAACAAATCCCATCCTCGACGACCAGTATTATCAGAACCTGCTCAGTTGGCTCCTGTCAAAGACTTGGGTTTCCTCAGCGGGTTGTATTTCGCGGGCTTCAAGGTCGCAAACTGCCACCAAACTCCTCCAAGTCGATATGGGACTGTATCAACAGATCGATGGAATAGAGTTCCTGGGTCGGACTGATGAAGCTGATGGATCAACTGCTCATGAGTCAATACAAGAGTCGTGTTGAGAAACGACCGAGCCTGGGAAAGCAAACGACATCTTCTACGTCTGAGCTTCAAATATCAACTTGAAGTAATCAGTCTTGGCCTGAAATTAGGTGTTCCCGAATGCCTCACCTCTGATTTGAATATGTCGGCCCCGGCTACCGAAGTGACGGAGGACAAAATCGAAGAAGACCGGGGCCTCCAGCGCATTCTGACTCTGCGCAGACACGTTACAACATTCGAAGCTAGATGGGCAGATTTTCCTGGTTCTTATCAAACTCCACATTCAGGAGCCAGGCCATACCATCGAGAGTCATCTCTTTAATTTTGCGAGTATGGCTAGCTGGCCACGGTGGCGATACCCAAGCCGTGTGGCCCTCTCCCTCGAGCACGGTCGACTTGACTTGCACCCCTACCGACTCCGACAGCCACTTGGCGTAGATCACAGCATCGTCACGGAATTGATCAAACTGTCCGCCATACACGAAGACTTTTGGTGGATGATCCTGGATGATCTTGGGATCAGTCAAGTCCAGATTGACGGGCGAGAACCAGGGAGAGTCGAGAGTAAGACGAGACTCGAGATCCAGACGTAGCGCTTCGTTGGCGACCTTGTATTCGAATTCGTCGTCTCTAGATCTAAACAGGTCTCGATATTGTAAAGGCACAATGGTTTCGGTGATTAAGAAGGGTAAACCTGAGAAAATTCCGGTCATGGGGCTTCGAAGAGAAGTCAGTCCGACAAAGTCTTTGACGCCTGCTCGGGCTGCACCAGGTATGCTTCCAATGACCGCAGCCACAGCGCCATCCGAACTGAGACCGCCGACCACAAAGGCGCGACCCAGATCGACCTGAGCTCCAGCGTCTTTCAAGACACCAGTGTTCAGATTGTTGCCATCGGACAACCACACGCACACGTCCCAGGCCATCTGAACGGGTGCAGGAAACGCCTGCTCAGGGAGCTGATTTAGGGTTGGACATGCCACCACACAGTTGAACAGCTCTGCGAAGCCGCGAGCAGGGCCTAAAACTAGATCAGGGCTGCACGCTGACAGGCCGCCACCGTGAAAGAAGACGGTCAGCGGACACTGGATAGGCGACTTTGCCGGCGGGCTGGGCCACACCACTTTGGTTCTGTTCGCTTGGGTACCGGCCACGGGAATATCGATCCATGCCTCACGCAGGTGAGATGGACATGGACCAATGTACTCGAGGCCAGCAGCCTCAGCTTCGGCCATAGCCTGACGCTGCTCGTCCACTGACAGAGGCTTATTAGACGCCATTATCAGGGCAACGAGAGCAGAGTTTCCAAGGGTGAGAAAGGTTATGAGGATTCGTAGGGGTCGTAACTTCGATTGTGAATCTATCTATCTAGGAGAGAGTGTGTCCTTGTATAAATCCCTCGAATCGCTGTTAGTTAGCGATAACGTCACTAGTTATAGTCCTCGGTATAGAAGTCATGGAATAGCAGAATAGCTAATGAACAGCCGCAGGTGGATACCTCTGGTTGCCTCGCCAACTTCGCACACCGCTTGGGATAAAATAGTTTGTCTCATTCTGCTTTTTGGTAACGCCTACGGCAGGCACCGAAATTCATCCCTTACCCCGTACATCACGGTTGGCGTTCAATTCTTCGTCAGGCAACGACTACCCTTTGAACATTCTCTGGCTTGTATTTCGGGCAGTCGTCTGGCTTATGCAAAGTCATACCACCCCACCATGACCTCCGCAGCTCTGAATAGGAAGTCCATCGAGGTCTTCGTTCGATGGCGACGGCTGACACAGTCGGAATCTGCGCAGGACGAGGTCGTTCGGGAAATATGTCCTGGCCGTTCCCTGTTGTCAATCTCCGTAAGTCGGCAGGATCAGACAGGAAACCAGTCGTGGACGAGCCCTCCGGCCTTCAAAGCCATATTCAATCCAGAACACGACAACGGGGCGATATTTGACTCGATCGTCGCGCCTGCTATCCCGCGAGTTCTACAGGGTGGGAACTGCAACTTTTTTGCATACGGACATACCGGCAGCGGCAAGACACATACAATCCTGGGTTATAATTATGACGACGAGAACGAGCTCGGATTGACTCTCGCGGCTGCTCGCCAACTTTTTCAGGCAATCCACGTCTTGAACGAGAACAATCCTGCCGAAGAGAGGCTGGGAATTGGCTTCAGCTTGTTCGAAATGCGAAAGAAGTCGGCCTTTGATCTTCTCAATCGACGTGCAGAGTGCCACATCAGAGAAGGCGCCGACGGCAAGGTTTACATCCGCGGGGAGACTGAGATGCTCCCGGGCGACAAAGTCAGGGTCTGCCCAATTGTCAAGCAACCCTGCTGGACCTATGAATCTTTCCGCCACGAGCTGACTCAGGCCCTGGGCCGCCGAGCCGTCGGCTCATCGACTCTTCACGACCAGAGCTCCAGGACTCACGCGATCTTGGAATTGGAAGTTATCTGCCAATCGCTCGTAGATGCACGTCAGGCTGTCATAGAGCGGCAGTCAGAGTTGGTCCCGGTGGGAAAGCGTGCGACCGACGTCCACCTGGAGGAGCAGTACAAGGGCCTCATCGCCCTTCCAGAGGGTGGATGGGCATACAACCCCGATTATCAGATCAATCAAGAGCGCATTGACGCCGCCGAAGCCGAGAAGGCTGACTGCGAGGAAAAGGTTGCTGCTGCAGAAGAGCTTGTGAATCAGATTCTCGAGTCGTGTGCATCTCCCTGCCTGGGTTCCAAGATGGTATTTGTCGACCTCGCTGGTGCAGAGTACCAACACGAAAAGGAGAGCGCTCGACCACAAATGGCCAAGCAGACCCCTCAAGAGCGCCAGGAAGGTCGTCAGATCAACACGGACCTGCTAGCGCTGAAGGAGGTGATGAGGGCCTGGTCCAAAAATCAGCCGAGAATACCATTCCGGTCGTCGGCACTGACCATGGTGCTCCGCGAGCATTTCTTGAGTTCGGAAAAGGGAAATTCGGCCATGATCGTCACCGTCTCACCTGCGAGGGACCAGTACTCTGCCACACTGAATTCTTTGAAATACGGAAGTCTCGTTGGCGTTGCAGCCGCATAGGTGCAGTAAGGGAGTCAGTCCATCTACAAGCATGGGGTCTATGAGCAGGAAACCCCCTGGTCACCAGCTAATGGTTGTTTTACCTTGCAGGCACCAAACGACGACTAAATACGTGGCCATGTAAACACCCGGTCACAATTGGCGGCCACTGACCGCAATTTACAATCACCGTACCCTAGCACCAGCACTACCCGTGCATCAGTGGGAGAGACACCCATATACAGATTAAGGGTATCCTTCGGTCTCTTTTCGGCCTGCAGAAGAGACTCCTTGTGTCTGCGGACACGAGTCCCGCTCATGATCAGAGAGCCGATGTACACCGCGCATACAAAGCAGAAGATAAACGGTGAGGTAATCTATCTCTTGGACTTTGTGGAGACGTCGAAAGAGAGTTTTGACACAGGAAGAGCTTGAGAGGCCAATGGGCAAGAGGATATAAGAAGGAAGTCCGGGGCCTTACAGAGCTATATTCGGGGAGATGATGAGAAAGCTTTCCAGTCGACGGTCTGGCGGGTGCTTGGCCGGAAGGGTGCACGGAGGCCGATGATGTCCCTTCACCAACACATGAAAGCGGCGCATGGTCACAAAATACAGATGAGTTGTGTGTGAAGAGGATTGACTTTGGCGGCACATCGAGCGTGGGATCCTTGTCCGGAGAAATTGGCGAATTGCTTGTCAGCGAGCGTTGCCAGGAGGCCTTGAAGGGCGCTTCTGTGTTGGCCTACGGAATTGCGTCGAGGTGCCTTTCGTCCCTCGTCTCCTCCTACGATCATCACATCGACATTGGCGTGGAGGAGTGAGAATGGAATGGAGGCAAGTGGACGGGACGGTTGCGGCACGGCACGAGACAAAAGGACAAAAGCACCCCTTAAATACCACCACCGCCTCGTCAGTACGTCCTCCTCCGCCTCCATCAATTGTCCCCCAGGGCGGAAATCCCGCAAACAACCAAGTTGTACATGTATGATGGATAAGGACGAGGCGTTTGGTCAGCAGGGCAGACGAACCACGCCTGACGAAAAAATGTAGAACTGTAGTCGGCCAGCCAGGCACTGCCAGCCCAGCTTGTTGTACATACCTCTATATACGTCTCGTACTCGTGCTCGTACTCGTAAACCTAACCCATATCCTCGCAGCTACTCAGGCAGCGAATTGCCCTTTCTGCCACTTTTGCCCCTTTTGCTCAGATATTTACACATACATTTTATGCCTTGATGATCCACCGAAGTGAATCTGACGCACTTTTTGCCTGGTATCGCCCACTCGACAGTAGTGATTCTTCCCGAAATAACGCCTGGAAACATGTCGAAGAGATAGATACACCACACCATACACACCATCACTGTGGAACTCGACCACGGGCGTGTCTCTGATCAGGGAGTGAGTCCTTCTCCAGATATCATCACCGTTGCCGACTTGTAACGGGCCGTACTCACAAAAGATGAAAAGGAAAAGGTCCGGCGAAGAATAGGTACTGTGGCCGTTGTCACACGAACACAGCTCAACTCAACTCCAACAAGCAAAGGGGGCGAGACAGACAGAAATACAGACAGATGCAGGCAGCTAGACCCGTCTGTACAGACAGAACCAGCTGGGTCATGAAGAAGAGAAGCTGCGAAAGTTGAGTCCCATACCAAGCTATATAGCTGGAAGGGTAGGTATCGTGTGCGCCCGAGTGCCGGATCTAGTATACGTGACTCTGGCTGGCCCAGAAGAGCCAGCCATCAAGGCAGGTCATCCCACATGATCTTCTCCATTTCGATAGTTTTGAGTCGGAAGTGTGGAGGAGCGCAGAGTAGGAAGAAATCAGTTCAAGACTCAAGATTGAAAACCCAAGGATATCTTTGTTTCCTTTTCCCTTTCTACCTCTCTTCCACGCGTCTCTTTCTTTCTTTCTTTCTTTATTCTCTGTCCTCTCTCGTTCTGCGGAACTTTTCCTTCCCGCGTCATCCATCAGTCGTCGACTCGTCACTCGTCACTCGTTGCGTGTCACGTCTATCTCATAGACAAACACAACCCAACACCATCAACACAACGGAACAGGCACAGGCACGACGTGTATTCGTCTCAGGTTTGCTGAAAGAGAACATCCACCAATACACACATAAACAAAAGCAAAAAAAGGGGGGTCTTCTCTCTAGCCTCTAGCTGAAGATCTTGTCAAAGTATTTCATAAATGCGTTTCTGTAGATTCAAAAGCAAAGATTGCCACAAGTCAGCATTCGCATGCGCGCATGTACGCAGGCAGGCAGGCAGGCAGGCAGGCACGCACTGGAGGTGATTTGATTTTCACAAGACTCCTCGGGTGAAGTAGCGCGGAAGACGCAAGATAAGGAGGAAGATGAGAGAGAGGAAAGGGGTAAATAAAGCACGCATGGATGGTATATACATAGGCGGCCCAAGTAGGACGAATGAATGGGCACAGGGCACAGGGCATAGGGGACAGGAAAAAACTCACCTAGGCGGCCGAGGGACATAATTCCGCTCATACTCTGCAATCTCGTCCATGTCGCGGGTCAGATCAACCTCGTGCGGCTTGAGCCACTTTGTCTTTTTGAACCACTTCCAAAACAGAAACAGCGCGGGAAACACGCCGATCATGGTGTAGCTGAACAGGAAGCTGGGCACGTCCCAGAAGCCCGGGAGGAAGACGGTGTAGCCGCCGACAAAGGTCATGATGAAGGTCCCCACCAAGGCGTAGTAGGCCGAAAAGGGCTGCCACCACGACTTGTACGGCAGCGTGTTGCGGTCGATGCCCTGCACCTCGAGGGCGCGCTTGAACTTGAGGAACGTAAAGGCCATGACAGAGAAGTTGATCAGTTGTGACGCCGTGACCTGCGAAGAAGGTGATGAACGGGTCAGCACGAAATGGAGTCAAAATGCGTTGCGGGGGACTGGTTGTGAGAGGACCAAATGGAAATGTATCCATTTGTCCCACTCAAGGGGCGAACACGCTGAAATTAATGCTACAGAGGCAGAAGAACGTACCAGATTGACAAACCAGCTTAGCACCACGGCGGCATCGTTGCTGACTTGCAAAAAGCTCAGTAGGCTGATCAACAGCACCAGCGCCACGCAGTATACCGGCACCCCGTTCCTAGTGCAGCGGGTGAAAAGCTTGGGTGCTTTGCCCTCGAGCGCCAGCCCAAACAGACTCCGACTGGCGCAGTAGACGTAGCTGTTACCTGCTGAAAACGCGCTGCCTAGAACCATGGCGTTGACAATGTGGGGAAGCACCTTGATTCGCAGTCTGTTCATTGACACCACGTAAGGAGATGCAGCGGCGCCGGGTTTCCCTGTCGAAAAGGCCTCGGTGAGTTCTGGGTCGTTGTACGGCACAAGAATGCCGACGCAGAGGGAGCCGAGCATGAAAAACGCCGTGAGGCGGTAGAAGACGGCCTTGTACGCCCTCGGGAGGACTTTGCGTGGATTCTCAGCCTCGCCGGCTGCCATGGAGACGTAGTCCGGCCCGGCGATGGTGAAAGATGCTTGGATCAGACACTGCAAGAAGCCCAGAAACCTGCCCAGCGAGCCGTCGTAGTAGAGTTCCGTGAAGGAGCCTGGGTTGTTCCAATATCGAAAACCAAATCGATCACCAAGGGGATTTCCGCCCAGCATGACAATAAACGTGTAGATGATTAGCCCAACGATCAAAAGGACTTTGCCCAATGCGAGCCAAAATTCCGTCTCCCCGTACCACTGCACGGCGAACAGATTGACCAGGGCGTAGCAGACAATCACAATTGCGATGATGCCACCAGCGGGGACGACGTCGCTCCAGAAGTGGATGATGACATTGCACGCCACGATTTCAAAGGGGACCAGCATCGCTTCAAAGACGAAGAAGTTGTAGCCTGCAGCAACGCCAAACGCTTCATCGACATAGCGGCCTGCAAATCGGATAAAGGGTGAAGAAATGGGGAGATAGGTGACCATCTCTGCCATGCAGTTTGTGACGCAAAGTATGAATGTACACCTAGAGACATGTACTTGGTATTAGTTCACAGAAGTCTGGTCTCTGAATCTGGATATCTTCATCCCGCAACATGTCCCATGCTTGAAAACGAGAGTGCTTGAGCAAAGCAGGAGATATGCTGTGGCAGTCACTGTGGCAGTCACTGAGCAGGCACCGAATTCCGACCTCTAATACCAAGGCGTTTCTTCTCTTCAGTATGCCCTGCATGATCCACCGTCTCTGAAGCTGAGGAACAACATGAAGACAGAAAGAGCCTGACTTACCAGATGGTAAAGGCCAGAAACAAACTCCCAGGGCCTCCATTGAGCAATCCTCGCCCAATCTGCACGTACAGAGCCGTGCCAATCGTCCCCCCAATACCTATCAGTTGAATATGTCGGGGCTTCAACTTCCGATGGGTGCTATCATATCCCACTTGGACACTGCCGGGATAGCTAGGTGTTTCGGCCAGTCCATAATTAGCCTTGAGAGATGCCACGACGGATTGCTTGCGAGAGCCACGTCTCACAGCGTGCTCCTCGTCGTCGCTGTTGGATGGTGAATGCACGCCTCGCGCAATCGGAGTTTCGTCCAGCAGGTGAGGAGGTACGCCATCCTTTTCTCCACCCAGACTATGACGGTGCGAAGAAGGCATTGCGGGAATTCGGGGGTCAGAGGAACGAGAGCACAAGGAGAGAGCAAAAAGAATCAGAAGGACTTGTGGATAGATAAAACTGGACCCAAGGAGAGCTCAGGGAAAAAATCTCCAGATGTATATCGACGTAATGGCCGACTTTATCGCCAAAAAGCATAATCCATCCTCTTGAAGCTCTGGCCTGATTCCAGATGGGACTCCTCAAGGTGGCATAATCAACCTCGTCGTATTGGACATTCTGTACACCCAAGTTCTTGGTCCTGCGGTTGTCGAGGCTCGGCGAGGTCTTAGCTCGTGGATCATTTTACTGTAAGCTGAAAGGAATTCACTGTCGAGGGAAGCTCGAGTGAGATGCCGCGAGGTAGCAACGGCGACTGCAACGGGAAAAAAAATTGTCATGGGGAGGATGGAGTTGAGTGGAGGAAAGTTGGAATGAAGCGTCTGGGCTGACGATTCTAGGGTTTTCTTGGGGAGCTTCGGGTGTCTTGGCAGGGCATTAGGGGCGGAGTGGTGCTTGGGAACGCCTAGGGTTAGTTAAGGCAGCCGATAGTCAGGGAAGCCAAGGGGGAGGGGGTGGAGGAAGGGGCTCAGATAAACTTCCCATCTTCCTGCAGAGTGCCGTTGAGTGCCCAGTACCCAATACCCAGACGCCTAGCGTCTGTAGGTAAAAAAGCCCCTCAAGCTCCCACCAAGACGTCCTTCCCGCCCTTCAAGCCCCAGGAGGCAAGAACCATTTCTTGGCCTACCTAAGTACCTTTCTAGGTATTTGCTAGGTGTGGGCGTACCTAGTGGGTAAGGTCTTTGCCCGTCCACCGACTTCCGCCTGTGGGCACCTGCGTAGTGGCGCTGGTGGTGGCGGCGGCATCGACTCTGGCTTCCCTTATCTTGCTTTGAAGTGGATCATCACCAGCTCTTTGAACACCACCTGAAAACTCGGAATCCCGATCGACGACTTGCAAATGTCCCTTATCGAAAATGTACCCCTAGCATCAAATCAGCTTCTCCTTTCTCTGGTGTAGATCTTTTACAAGCTTCCCAAGGCGTTCTCACAAAGACCATATCATATCGCAGTCATGCTGAACTCTTGGACCTCAACACTATTCCTGCTTTCAGCGTCCTCAATAGCTCGGGACATTACTTTCCCACCAGTTTCACCACTGCAGGCAAACCTAGGAAGTCATGCAGGCCAATATCGAGCATCCGTCGCCTCGGGCCAGGATCCCTTGGCTGAGTCCAGCAAGTACTCTGGGCTAACCACCTTTGCCAATCTTCCATGGTTACATTGCTTATCGCCCGACGACAATGTCGACAAGTATGATATTGCCTTTTTGGGAGCACCGTTTGACACAGGCACTTCGGCTCGACCAGGGGCGCGATTTGGTCCAACGGGAATCAGATGGTAAGCTCGGCCACGAGGACAATTTCCTCCTGCGACTTCCCAGCCGAGGGCCATCTGGACCCGACGATGTTCTGACTAGACCTGAGCAGGGGTTCTAGACGAATTCAAGCTGCTGCGGGATGGGATGCGTATACCCACGAGAACACGTTCCTGAGCTGGGCGCGCATCGTGGATTGTGGCGACGCACCACTCACTTTTCTAGACAACACGGCAGCCTTGCAGCAACTTGAAAAGGCGCACAGGGTGGTTTCTGGCCGAACAGCCAATGCCACAGAAGTGGCCGAAGTCCCTCGCATCATCACGTTGGGAGGTGATCACACAACCACGTTGGCGGCATTGCGCTCAACCATCAGCCATTGGGGCCCTGTCAGTGTCATACATTTTGACAGCCATATAGATACCTGGGGTATGGTCGCATTTCCCCGCCCCGACTCTCGGAACCGAACCATGCGATTGACAAAGGTCCCAACTTGTCAAGCGCAATTGGCCCGAGGATAGGTTGACCCAATGCGGATAGCAGTGAATTTGGTGCTGACTATTGATTCCGCGCGCAGACCCCAAAGTCATTGGTGGCGGGATTTCCCACTATGCTGGGCTGAATCATGGCACATTCCTTCATATTGCCCACGAAGAAGGCCTCATTCTCAACTCTTCGGCACACGCAGGCATACGAGCTCCAGCCCTCAACAAAAACTATGACTGGAAAAACGACAAACGCTGCGGGTTCGAGATATAACTGCGAGGGACATTGATAAAATCGGTGTTGCGGGTATCATCGACAAGTTGAAAGCTCGAGTGGGCGACACGAATGTCTACATCTCGGTCGATATTGACGTCTTGGATCCTGCATATGCTCCGGCCACAGGTACTGCTGAAGTCGGCGGCTGGACCACTAGAGAGCTCCTCAGTATCTTGGATGGCCTTGAAGGTGTGAAGGTGATTGGAGCTGATGTGGTGGAGGTTGCTCCGATATACGACAATCCTGGAGAAACCACTGGCCTCGCAGCTGCAGAGGTAGCCCACCGACTCATGAACCTGATGGTCGAGACTCCGGTGAAGCCATTGAGGAAGGAAGATGGTAGGACTTAGAGAGCAGAGTGTACACCTATAGAAAAATGTTACATGTAGCCTTCTCTGTTACATTAGTAAAGCACACCTAGTCGACAAATGGATACGGACAAGGTGGAACTGACACGTTACCTGCCAATATGGACGACGTGGTGGTACTGTAGTGGTGATGACGATAGTGGCTGCTTGCGCAGTTTGCGATCGACAGCCACAAAGTCTCTCGATATGGCTGTGTTAGACCATTGGGGAGAATGATTTCACCATTCAACTGCCAAGTCGCTGAAGCTCGCAACCAGTTCCAGATTCAACTTGCGAGCCGGAACACCTGGGTACCACTGGTGTCATTGGCAGCGGGGACGGGGGAATGACAATCCCATCGAGGGGCAGAGGGCCGAGGGGTAAGCCACGAGGGGCACCTGCGAGGGGCATTTTTCTTCGCCTGATTGCGACAAAGGAAATTTGCCGCAGCCCAGCTTTCAGCTTCAGTCCCGGACAAGGGATCGAAACACTGTCACCCGATTTCCCTCATGTTTCCGTGGCCAATAGCCTAGCCTACCTTCCAGACCCCTTTTGATCCAAACTCCCCAAGTCCCAATCAAGTCAAACGTTCGGTCTGAGGAGTTCCGCTTGTCTAAGCTGTGGGAAGAGTATGTAATCAACCCTTGCATACACTCTCAGAGGTCACAGGGGCAGTGCACCGTCTGTGGTGTTGGCATGATCCAGCTTAATACCTTTCGACTCCAAGTCCAGAAACTGACTCTTGTTGTTCACCCTTTCATCTTCACAGTGTCCGACACGAGTCGAGGTTTGTCTTGCTAGACCTTCACCATGGCTGATCCAACCTCACCGAGCCCTTATTCAGAGAACAAGAAATTCGAGCCCAAAGTCCCGGTTGAGCTACAACCGCCGAAGCACGATGAGATTTCGCTGGAAGAGTTGAGCCAGTGCGACGGTACGCACCCGATCAGAGACCTGAGCAGATACTTTCAGTGCGGGGAGGGGCGGGAATGCTGAGATGTCGACTTTGCGATAGGAACAAATCCGGACAAGCCTACATGGGTCGCGATCAAGGGTACTGTCTTCGATGTCTCCAAGAACAAGGCGTATGGCGAGAAGGGTCAATATCATGGTACGACGGCACTTGCTGTCCCACCCGAGTTCCTCGTTTGCCAGTTCCAATACTAACCAGAGCTCTGTGCAGTCTTTGCCGGCAAGGATCCTTCTCGTGCCCTCGCGCTCTCCAGTTTGAAGCCCGAAGACTGCGTACCAGACTGGTATGATCTGGACGACAAGTACAAGACTGTGCTCGACGAATGGTACACCTTCTTTAGCAAGCGGTATAACATCGTGGGCAAGGTCAGTACATTCAAACTACAAAAATTATGAAAGAGGAAGAGACAGATTTTGCCGAGACGCCCGCACGGACCGGGTAGGAAATATAGAACAAATACAAAGCGCTCGAGAGATTGCGCACAAGAGCAGGTGCAGGTCATTGCCAATCTCAGGACAGGTGCTGACTATCATGGCGTCTGCCTCTAGGTCGCGGGTGCTCAGAATACGGGGTAAAAGTGACGGGCAGCAGGAAGACATCGATTTATTGCGACGTTCAGGAAGATACCCCGGACAGAACTAGGAGGGAGCGCGAAGCAGTCCTTTGCTTCGGTGGCACGGTTGGTGCCGCATATTGCCCAATGCTCAACTGCAGACTGATTGCGATCCACCCGTACAGTCAAATACATCAACCTTTCCGTGACTTCCTGGCCTGACGCTTCTTTGCGATGATGCGATTCCTTTTCGCAAGGCGATTCTTCTCCTCCGGCTCAACCGGTTGCGGGACTTTCGAGGCCATTGAAGATGACCCATCATCACTCTTGTCTCCGCGCTTCCGCTTCTTGTTGACCCTGCCGTTAGCCTCTGGTTTTCCTTTCTTGCTGTCCTTGGCACCTTTCCCTCCGCCTTCTCTGGCTCTCTGTTCCCTCTCATTCCTCCGCTGGATAACCTGGGCGTTTTCAATGGCAAACTCCACAATCAGGCGTTTCCCTCTGTCAGAACCAGCATTCTGGGGTTTGACCAAGTGCCCATTGAGCCAACGTAGGCCGGCCAGAGCATTCCGATGACTGACATATTCGATGAAGCCGTAGCCTCGACTTCGACCAGCGCCTTCTTTGACTTTACTTCCTTCCTTGTCTTCAAAGACAACCTTCGCCTGCTTGACAATCCCTTTGCCAGACAGCTTGCGTCGACGTTCGGCTTCTTGCATCTCGCTGCCACCTCGCTGTAGTTCTTCCTTGCCCAGAGGCTGTCGTAGGCCTTCTTTAACGTCCTTGGCAAAGCCGACCACGGCTTCCCGAGCCAGTGCCTTAAGTTCCTTGCTGCTGATACCTCGCGGAAGATTCCTAACACTCAGACGGGTCAGACTGAGACATAGGTTCGGATTGGTTTTGATCAGTCGCTGCCGTTGACGGGCGCTGCTCTCTCTGATGTCAATCTCCGCCTTGCCTAGCTGCTCATAGAGCTTCGACCCCTTGGGGATGGATCCTTCCGACAGCAGGTACAGGCGTCGCTTGTCCCGATCTCGGATGTCTCTTTTTGCACTGGCCTCGCTTGCTCGGCGTTCCGCGTCTTCCCTGCTAAGGGCTCGGGATACCTGGAGCACGCGTCCCTCGAGCGTATAGCGACCGGACGGATCGGCTGCTTCGTTTTCGAGGATCGAATGCTTCGGGACCTCCCTTTGTCTCTTCTTGTCATTCGTTGCATGGTCCGATGCTGTTTCGTGCTTTGGAGCATTCTTGACGCAGGCTTTTGCATCATCGAGATTGAAAAAGCAGACAAACCCGGTGCCTTTGGGCCGTTGAGTCTCCGGATCATAGACGACCCGCGCATATCGGATCGGTCCAAAGGTGGAAAAGTGTTCTCGGAGAAGATCGTCGTCGGTGGTGTAGGGTAGATTCCTGATAAAGACAGAGGTATCATTCCTGTTGTCGTGTGCTTGGGATTCAGAGGTTACACTCCCTGTTGCCGATTGTGCATCCTCTTGGTCGCTTGCGGTATCGAGCTCGTCAAGTGATTCTTCCTCGGAACCTTGGTTGACGTCTTCAGTATCTTCTAGTGCCTCTACGTCGGACTCGGCGTCGTCGTAGTCCGCCTTGTCCGTTTTGGGGTCATCTTCGTTATGATCGTCTGCACTCGGCTTATCATGGGATGATTGTTCGGTCTCTGGACGTTTATGTTGCAACTCTTCCCAAGTCTTCTTGTCGACAGCCCAATCAACGGCCAACGTGCGCCCGTCGACTTCTTTCCCATTGACCCCTGCGAGGGCCCTCTCTGCGTTCTTTTTTCCCCGAAGCACAACAATCCCAAAGCCGTATTGCTCCTTCGGGCCCTTCTTGGGCACTACCGCGTGCTTGACTTTCCCATAGCCTCGGAACAACAGGGACAGATCCTCCGCCGTCTTGATACTCCAGGGCAGATTCCTGACGATCAATTTCGGCGGCTGGGTCTCTGCGATATTCTTTTCTCGCTGTGCTCGAAGTTGCACAGCCGTGGTATTGACGCCACTCTTTCCACCCAGGTCCGCATCACGGTGTCTCGCCTCTGCTAGTTCAACTTTGATCTTCCTCCCGTCCAGCACCGAGTTGTTGAACTGGGCAACCGCAGCCTGGGCGTCCTCGGCATCGGCAAAGGTGACGAACCCGAATCCACGCGAGATCTTCGTCTGAGGGTCCAGGACGACCGTGGCGTGTTTGAGAGGGAACGACTGAGAGAAGTACTCGGTGAGTCGCTCTGTGGTCACGGAAGCGGGCAGAGAGCGCACGAAGAGCGACCGTCTCTGCTCCTTGGATTTGTCGCTTGTTTCTTGGGTTGGATGGTCGACATCCGGAGTGACAGCTTCATAGCTGCCACTCGAGAGTTTGCGTCTCTTGAGACTCTGATCCATGATCGAGTCGCGGGACATGTTCGCCGCCTTTTCGACTTGACCTGGCACACTGGGGAAAACTTGAACTTTTTTTCGCAGCCCAAATATTTCTCCAATTCGAAGTGGAGCGGAGGTGCAACTTTGCACTTAGCCGTAGCAGAAGTCGACCGTATTATTCTCTACGTTAAAGTATAGAGCTGGAAGCGGAAGTTGAATCATCGAGTATCCCGTACAAACTCCCTTCAACCCGCGTCCTCACACTCTTCTTTGTGGCGATTCGAGACCGGGACCTCAGTAATCGAGAGTTCTGCATGCCAAATAGCGGAAGGCTAGCGAAACCGCCCTGGACGTCCTGATGTATGCCACGGTCGATATCCCAACCAACTTCAAAATCTAGAAGGGCGACTCCATGGCTGAAGAATTCGACAACGTCGACTTCCTGTCACAAGAAGCAGCGGTTGAGCGGCCGTCCGGCCCCCAGCGAACAGCCAGTCCCGCCACTACAAATACGCCCGCAAAAGTCGTCCAGCCAAAGCCACAAGCACTGCCTGGAAGACAAGGGCCGTCGGCAATCCTGGTGTCAACTCGACAAAAGGGCAATCCTATCCTGAAACATGTCACGCAGCTGCCGTGGGAATACTCGGACATACCATGCGACTACGTGCTCGGCGCGACGACGTGCGCACTGTTCCTGTCTCTCAAATACCATCGCTTGCACCCGGAATACATCTATAGCCGCATTCGCCAGCTGGGAAAGCTCTACAATCTCCGCATCCTGTTGACCATGGTCGACATCACGAATCACGAAGAGGCCCTAAAAGAGCTATCGAAGACCTCGATGATCAACAACCTGACGTTGATTCTGTGCTGGTCCTCTCAAGAGGCGGGCCGCTACCTAGAGCTCTTCAAGTCATTTGAGCACGCCTCATCCGCGTCGATTCGAGCCCACCAGGCAGAGACGTACCAGGAGAGTCTGACCGAGTTTGTTACGACGCCACGAAACATCAACAAGACCGACGCTGCCAGTCTGATCATGAACTTTGGATCACTTCGAGCAGCTGTCAATGCGGAACCAGAAGAACTGGCTCTGGTACCAGGCTGGGGCGAGAAGAAAGTCAAAGCTTGGTACACGACTGTACGCGAGCCATTCCGCGTGAGAAGAGCGGCCAAGTCTAATGCAACACTGCTGAGACAAGAGACTTCCATGTTCTCTGAGGAAGCCAGCACCCCAGAGTCAAGGCCAGGAAGCGGACACACGCCCATCCCTATTGGCTCCGTACCTAGTCTCAGCAGACAAGGGTCGGCTGCTGTTCCGACGCAGAATTCAACCGAGGCGGGCCCCAGCCATAAGCGTCCTCGTCTGGAAGAAGTGACCATGGATGATCTGGATGAGGAGGAAGAAGCTGCACTCCTTGCCCTCGCTGATGTGGAAGCTGCAAAATCAGCCTCACAAACTTCGCGGCCAGCCCAGCCACAGGCCCGCAAAGAACCAGAGTTGAGCGCCGGTGTTGCGGCTGCACTCGCCAAGCTTCGACAAAATGGGTGAAAGAGGAAGCATGTGTTGCATGATGTCCCACACTTGTTGGATTCATGCACATTGTATTGTGCTATCGCGGGCACAGATCGATGCCCACCCTCGACGACGTGCTTGTGTATAAAATGCCACACCTTGGCGTCTAGCGTTGTAATCCAACTAGGAAGGAACGAATTTGATTTAAGGAAGCCATTCCAGCGATCAGTTCATCTGCACACGGGGTCCACTCTAGCGCGAAGGATTTCTATCCAGTCTGAAAACGCATTAGTCGACATATCGAGATCCATTATTTCAATCTTTCCGGGGCCACAAAGTAAACATTACCATCCGCCAGGTCACGCGGAGAGAGTACCTGAAGCATTACGCAAAGGACAACCAAGGGCGATACATCGGCAGGGAAGATCCCGCGGACTACTGTATTCTAGACAGCGAAGATTCGGATCGGTGGAGACGGCCACAGGAACGAGGATCGGTGGACAGAGAGGATGATGAGAGGACGTCCACGGCCGACGAACAACGCCAAAACCAGAACAAGCTTTCCATAGACGCGGCTGATGCGGCGACAGACGGAGATGGGGATCCAGGGGTAAGCAATCGGGTCGAGTGACCTGTCGATAGGGACGGGGAGAACGGGACGCCGAAGCTGTCGAGGTCAACGACGGCGCAGACTGCGTGAGTGTGTCGGCAGAAACTGTCGTCAGTGGTGGTAAGAAGAGCAGGTTCGATCTCTTCAGGCGCCTGCAAGGAAGGGGAGAAGAGGAGGAGGAGGAGGAGGAAAAGGCGATAGAGTCACCATCCGTTGACCGAACCACCTGATGGTTTGTGCTACGCTCTCATGAACGACTTGTGGAGATATGGCTTTACTGCTCAAACCATGTCCTTTATCTGCTCACATTAATGATCAAACACATTCTCTCTCCCTCTCTCCCTCTCTGAGAAGCCATCGAGCCTAGATATCCACCCCCGACCACTCAGAGAATCCGTCGGGAGCGCGAACCTTTACTGCGAACCATGAACCATGAACCATGAACTGCAATGTTGATAATGATGTTGTTGATGATGATGATGTTTCAAGTATAAATAAAGAAATCGATAGAGAGACAGAGATCTAGAAAGATAGAAAGAACCTCATTTTTTTTTTTTACATCTTGATTTAGTCCGCTGCCGCCGCCTCCGCCGCCTCCTCCCCTCCCCTTCTCCTCCCAATGACTTTCCCAACATCTCTCATTCTAGTGGCGTAGACTCGTTCCCTTGTCCCCTCCCCTTCCTCCCCCCAAACCCTCCATGACCCGAGAAAGAAAGAAACCAGGAAAGAAAAAAAAAAGTCAAATTTCCCCCAACATGTCTAGGCGCACACAAATCTCAAGGAAGAACTGAACTCATGACTTGAACTCCTCAGAACCCCCTCGGGGAGACAAACGACCCCACACACACACGCACAAAAAGAGAGGGAAAAGGAAAAGGAAAAAGAGAAAAGAGAGGGGGGGGGGGGTGTATAGACTGAGTTGTTGGTTCAATCAATCAAGCAGACTGCTCCCGACGACGACGATTGAGAACCTTGACCACGCCACGGCTCATCACTTTCCACGATGACCATTCGTCGCTACAGTGTTTTAGCAGATATCTCCGCTGGACCAGGGGAATAAACCCTAGGCACACTCGATATTGCTTGTTGGGGTCACCGGCATCGTCGTCTTCGTCGTCACTATCGCAAGCCTTTCGCTTCCGATGTTGCGCGCGCTCATAGGGTTCCTGGAATTCGGGCCACCAGATGATCCAATCCTCATGTAGTCGCCGCGTCAGGTGGATCTGAAATTCCAACGCATCTCGAAATAGGTCGTTCAGCGACCTCCGGATCGAAGCCATTTTCAGCGATTCTTGGAGGCGTGGTGATGGGCGAGACAGCTCCTTGCGTGGCTCGCGCAACGGCAAGCCGTAGACATCGGGATCCCAGAACGTCCCCTTGTCCAAAGGCTCCTTGCGGAGCACAATGTCGATATATGCCAGTAACATGGCTCCCATGTGATGCGCTTCGGACTCAACGGTGTGGATCACCTTGGAATTTAGATGCTCGTTCCATAACCGTCGCCGTACAGCTTCTCCGAGTTCTGGGACAAATGCTGCAGAAGAAAGTGATTAGTCTCACGCGACGAAGCTTCGAACATGGAGAGAGAGAGACGAACAATGCTTTATGACTGATTCAACGACACCTTCACCAAGCTCGGCCAGCCAGGCCCTCGGATACACTGCAGGTTGAAGGGCCCACTTTGTGACAGCCTTGCCAATGAATGATTTGAGAAAATCGCCCACGTCGGTTTGGGTTTGCAGAAAAGCGACGACTGTCTCGGCTTGGCGGTTGGCCTCATCATGAAGTCCTATTCCAAGCATGGCGGCTATGATGGCACGGCACTCGTCAGGATATTGAAGTTTCGTGTCAAGGATGATGGGTTGGCTTTGTGGTATATCCGAAGCCTCGAAATAGTAGCAGATGATAGATTTGATCCGGGCCTCAATACCTGACATGGCCCACACTATCAGATTTTCTTGCAGTATGTCGTCTGTGTTGGTGGAGATATCACGGTCAAAGGCATCCATGTCAAAAAAGGGACCGTCTCCACTGTCCGCTTCGCCCCTCATCAGTACCGGAAGTGTGGAGAGATCGGTAGAGGCGTTTGGTCTTAATCCAGGGCCTGGAAGCTTGTCCTGTTGAATGGGAGCCATGTTATGCGTGCGCCCAGCGGATGGCATATTGTTCCCAAATGTCGTTGATCCGACACCTCTACGACACAAAAAGCCAAAGAAGTATTAGCACATGTCAAGCACTAGACTTTGAGAGAGCTTGAGACCGAGGTCATGGGTCTGGGAGCAGTATAGGAATACTAACCTCGAGTTTGGGTTGGGTTGGCGCTGATCATTTTGGGGCTCTGGCTCCTTGGCCGAGCCATTCACAGGGCTCTTCCGTCTCCGATCCGCTCGTTGTTCTCGAGTGCTGTGTGCTTGATCTTCAGGGCCATTTTTCGTACGGCGGCGTTTATCTGCTCGCCTAGGTCGTTCATCGTTGCTCGATTCATAGTAGTCTGTGGTGGCGGTTGTGCTTCGATTGCCTTTCTTCTTGAACGAAGCGAGCTCGTCTTTGGTGTACGCTCGAGCGACAGGTTTGTCGTGGAGCTTGTCCCAGTCAAGCGCCTCGATGCCGTCTCTAAAGAAAGTCTCCACGGCGGACGACTGGCAACTCTCAAGTCTGTACTGCCACAGATATTTGATTCGTTGTTCGACGTTGGACACCAAAAGTCCTTTGGAGAAGGATGCGTTGTCTTGAAATTTGGTACGAAGACACTTGACCAGTTCCGTGAGTGCTTGTGTATAGTTCTGGATCAATGCGCCTTGAGGCCCTTTGTGGTCGTCAATCCATTCGACGAGGGCTCGTTGAGCGAGAGGTGGCCAGTTGATGGACTTCGTCATGCTGGATATCGTGAGAAGACTGGGGTGTTGTTGCAAATTTGCAAAAACAGAATGGAATGCGCCAGGGGTTTGGGATGAGTAGGATTTATATATCATCAAACAACCAAGATCTAGCAAACAAGGAGAGCTTGTGGAGCCTGCAACAACATGTTTGCGGTGGCATTCTGTGGGTTCTTATACCGGCTTTCAAGGGGGCCCGGTCCAATCCTTGGTGCATTCCATTTCTGACCAGGGTGGCGGCTGGTTGACAGCTGTTTTCAGTGTTTGTTTGCGGAACCTTGCCTGTCACATTCCAGACCCCGGCTCCATGCTTCTGTGCCCACCGGGAGCAAACTTCAGATCTGCTTTTGCTGGCGCTTGGGCGGGCCCCCATCCCCCGACAATCTTGCAGAAAGCATGGCAGCGATAGGATTGATGAGGATCCCACTCCGTGGCTGCTCAACAAGCCCAAAGATGTTGTCGTATCGTAGGAAATAGAGAGCCTGACGTGGTGATGCTAGCGGAGCAGCGCCCACAGAGTCGCGTCGTAGTGGGCAATGTACACGAAGAGTGATGTTACCACTCTGCCCAAATCGCCACTTCTGTCAGGAATCCCCTTTCTACCTCTAGAGTTGAAAGAAGCCATGCTTAACCAATGCCGTTTGCTGACGCGTGTCGATGCATGTCGACACCCTAAGCCATCCACATAGCAAATCCTGTGGCCATCGCTCCAAAGGAAGCAAATTTTCGGTAGCAAACCCACAGCAAAGAACAAGAGAGATATGATCAGTCTTGCTCCAAACCAGGGGTCAGGAGTCCTTCTATCTTCAAAGTTACATTTCACCTCATTGACACGGGCATGGCATCGTATGCCTTTTGACCTCCTCTTGTTTTCCATCCGTACTCAACCGTCCGTACTCAACCAGGAATGTCTACCACAGCGATCCCAGCGTCGACAATGACGCCAACAGACGTCCGAACGATGATCAAGAATTATCCGTGGAGTCCCGGTTCTGGAATCACCCTATTATTGAGTCTCGATTTCGGGACCGTGCACTCCACCGCTGCGGTTCAGATCGTGCTGGAGTCCTGCGGTTCGGTATCGGGAAACGTCAAGTTCGAGGAAGGACTCTTTGTCGGCACGCGACAGCGGCAGAGTTACCGCGTGCCCTCAAAGGTAGCCATTACATCCCGGTGTGCCAGAGCACTTGGCAAGCCGAAACGGTGTGTGTTGATATTCGGTCACGACGTCGATAAGGCCCTGGAGGACGGCTGCATCACCAATGAAAATGTGTTCGATCTGTTGAAATTGTTCCTGTTCCCCGAATATGCCAGCGACGACAGCGCAGCTGCCGGCGATCGACTGATGAAACTGACCAGAGCAAAGCACGATGCTCTGATCGAGAAAATTGCGAGGGTTCATGGTGGGAAGGTCTTGTATAGGGATCGCCTGGATGAACCTGAGTGGGAAGTCCGTGACATGGGAGATGTCGTTGTTGCTTACCTACATTTCATTTGGCACAACACTCTGTTAGAGGTTGCTCACAAGTACAACATCGACACCGACAACCCGAACCCCGAGTTCGAGAACCTCTGCCAGATCTTTGCAAACAAGATGCACGTCGCAGTATCTGTGCCCACCGTGTGGCAACGGGAGACGCAAGAGCATTTCTTGAACCTCTTGGGTCGCGCCGGATTCCCCGGCTCGACCGCGGTCGTCTCGGAAGCAGTCTCTGCGGCCATAGGCCACCTCAACATGATATCGGATTTCGAAAGCCACACAAGCGAGTCAGAGAACATGATTGTTGCAGATATTGGTGTAAGATGCCCAGACTCCGCAAAAAAGTCGTCAAAGGGTCCCGGACCTGGGTTTTCACGAGAATGTATTGACCGCTGACGAGAAAACAGGGAGCGACGCTAGGTGTGGCTGGAGTCAGGAAGTACTTTCGAGATGGTCTGGCCCGGTTTGGGGAAATCGTGCCTGAAAAGGGCGCGATCAACGGTTCTCTCCTGGTCAATCAAGCGATTAAGAAATACCTCGACGACAAAACGAATCGCCAAACCTTGAAGACTGTCCTCAAGCACCTCCACTGGAAGGAGGACGAATGGTCCCAGCACATCAAAGATGGCATCGAGGAAGCAAAAAGACTCTTCAAGAACACTGATTCAACGTGCTTGATACCGTTGCCGGGTTTGGGGCGGGTACGTGATTTAGAGCCTCAGATTTGCCGCAGTCTGCTTCCAGGTTCGCAACTCACAGTCAACGGGTTGATCATCGGCAACGACGTGCTGACAAAAATTCATGACGAGTGGCTGAAGGAAATCGTCGACGTTATCAGAGAATGCCAGAACGATTTCCAACAGCGCTGTCCAAAACAACCGCTCCCTGCTCTCAAGCTGTGTGGATGGGGTTCTTTGCCACGTCATGTCTTGCAGAAGTGCACAGACGTCTTCCAAGGGGTCCCGGTCACTCTTTTGGAAGATCAGGTTACTCCTATCGTCGCGAACGGAAATTTGGTGACATTGCTTCGCGCAGACCTGTTCTTCGAAGTACCGGCTTGCCGCAGCTATGGCATCAGACACGACATACCTTGGCAAGACGTCGATGAGGCCCATCAACGAAGGTCGGAGTTAGAAGAGGCACGGACGGATGATGGGGATTACCTCCTCGACCGTGCTCTGTGGGTCGTGGAAAAGGGTCAAAGCCTCATCCATCCGACAAAAACATTCACTGTGCAGAGTAAGAAACGCTTGTCGGCACCCAACATGAAACGGGCGTTTCCATTCGAATGGAAAATTGACATCGTTGCGAGCGATTCGCTTCAAGTCGGCTCTACCGACAAATATGTGAGCGTCTCACAAGCACTTGCAGCCAACACAATTCAGATTGTTGGAAGACACTCAATGAAAATCCAGCAACAAGACTGCAAGATCAAAGCCATTCGCTGGGACCCTGCTTTGCAAGAACCGGCGTATATCGAGTTCGAATTTCGAGTGAGGGTGGACTGCAGCACGATACGCCCACATATTCACATCTCGATACCTAAGAGCAACGGGATATTCAGAGAGAAGTTGGCAGCCACAGGCAAGGGAAAGAGCGAGCCCTGCCACAGAATTTCAGCTTCTCTGGGGTCTTTCCTTGCCCACACCACGTTTCACGACAATGAAAAAGCTCGGCTTGATGTTGATGGAGAACTAAGCGAGCAGGACAAAGAAGCAAGAATGGATACAGATTGATGATTTCCTTCGGCAGAGGGGAGAGCCAGGCGGAGGGGATGACAGTTGGGTGGCAGGACAGGAAGGATTGACGGGTGACGGTGGTTCGTTTCTTGTTGTTATTGTTGGAAGTTGGATGATGCCAAGATTGCCAAGACGGCCGTGCCCGGGATCAGCGAGGGAAGCCGCGGAGCGTGGAGAAGGAACATGCAAGGATATGCAATGCATAGTGATAGAAAAAAGGACACTGGGTCGGATGAATTTGCGTTTGATTTGTATTCTACCTCTATCAATACTATGGTACGGAGTTCCGAGTGGTGCTTATTGGATTTTGTACAAAGGCGCAGCCCTACATAGATACACCTCCAGAATTCCGCAAGCCATGGGAAGCAACGCGTCTCAGATGCATCGGTTGGCGATTCTCTGCACAAGGCGAGCCGCAGTGACGGGGTTTCCATCTTACCGGGCCAACTTCTGTTTCGTGCATCGAAGGGACGACAGCTCGGCAAGAACAAGACGAGACGACGAACTCACCCCACGGTATGTGGCAACTCCAAAAGGTCCAGCCAGCCTCCCGACGAAGGGGAAGAATTCCAGGTGCAATACGTGGCTCGAATAAGGGGCCATCAAAGCACAACAAGATGTGTACAGTGAGATAGACACAGGTAGACCAGAGCTCTAACATGTCCTTCGCGTGCCAATCATTCAGAAGCCCACAAGTCCCTCCCAATGATAAAGGATCAAATTTGGAAACGTTTGTACCCTTCCACCAGCCCATCTGCTCTTTTCGTGATTGCCGCCCATGCTGGAACATAATGCATCGCCTCGTCGAAAGCTGGTATGACCCCGTTCCTGTTTGCGTCACTCCATAGACATACCACTCGGCCGGACATTGTGCTATTGTCCCCCGAGATCTTGGAATGGTATAGATTGATAGAGTCTCTTGACTCGTCAGGAGTAGCAATCGGGTTGTCCCAGCTGACGTCCACAGTCCAAGCCCTCCCCCACGTGCGGCTCCACAGCCTGATCTCTTGACTACCACCTTCGGGCACAGAGGGGAACCGTGCGTCCCTCGGCGCCTGCCCAGTTACGTGGAAGTTTGTGATCGCTGTCGTCTCAAAGACGAGCTTACAAGCACGAGTGTTTCTCCCCAAGACCACGAAGCGAGCTTGGATCTTGCCATCACTGTTGTTCAGGCGCGTGACGTTGAAGCTGAGCCAGCTGGCGTACTGTTCCTTAGGGGAGACAGCATTAGAGTTTTTGACCACAATGGGTGGGATGCCCGGCCACGAACAGGTCTGCATGTTATCATAAATCAAAGCGCCCGTGGGTACACAGGTGATATGCTGCCCGGCAGAACTGGGTATGTAGTTGACAGCCTGGCGAGTGTACGGCGAAACTCCGGTCAGAAACACCGTGTTGTTCCCTGCTTCTAGGTCCACTTGCTGTTGAAAAAAAAGCTTCAATCTATTGTCCGTGGAGAAAGGAAATGCGGTAAGGTTGTAGATCATGGTGCCGACAAAGACGAGGAGAAGGAACACAGGTACGTGCCAGGTGAAGCGGTGTAGAATAGGCGTGATTGGGGAGAAGAGGATTATTGTGCAGGCAGCCACCATAATGTACAACAGAAACATGGAACTTCCGTCCTGTCCTGTCTGGTGAAGCCCTTCGGTTAGTAAGAGGCCAATCTGACCGACGACAACGAGGTTGATGGGAACAAGGACGAGGAGCTGCAACAGCCATAGCCAAGACCATTGGGATTTGCTCCAATCAGGCTCTTCGATCGCGTCAGTTTGATCCTCGACGGCCGCAATGCTTGGATTCGGTTCTTCTCTCCCTTGTCGGTATCCCCTTCTCAAAAGACTCGACCTCTCCGTGGGTTCACCGTCATCATTAGGGGTCGAATATTCTGCAACCTCTTCGTGCCCGCTACCTGAGCTGGTTTGGCGCTGGGACGGCTCGTCGTCGCAATCGAAACGCTGGCAATACACCGATTTCTTGGGCAGGGAGAACAGCTCCAGGTAGGACAACCATGTAGCCAGCCAAACGAGAGCGGCATATATGAGGACAAAGTATATACCGACGAGGTGGAGCTGTTCTTCAAACACCGTTGCGACGACAAGGAGCACCCACCACGCTCCCCACATCCAGGTGAACCCGTATACGCGAGTGAGAGAAGAGGGCCGTGTGTAGTCCGCAGCTCGGGAGAAGAACCACGCGACAAAGACGAAGGAGGAAATCATCATGGCCCACACTGCCCACTCACTGCTGTGGGCGATGTATTGATTTTCCTTGAAAATCAGGTATGCCAGGGCAATTGGGACCGCACAGGCTACAAGCGAGATGAGCGGAAACCGGAAAAGGCCACGCCATCCGTAGAGCTTGATCCTCTCGTCTCCACTCGATTGATGAAGAGGTCGTGATGCGGAGAAAAGGTAAAATTTGTCGACTCCATACAATAGAGCAATAGTGAGGAGGAGTATCACCGGTCCAACAACAAGCAGAGTCACCGATAGAGCAAAGAAAGTGTGGGCTTTCAAGATAGCAAACGTTCGCCCGAATACATCGAACCAGAGTGACGGACTTCCTGGGTTGTGCCCTGGGTCTAGGTTGGTCGTTAGCGACGTCGATGTCAGAGCTTCCGTCGTTGCCACGGCCGCAGATAGCATGTGCCAGAGAGATCCTTTCCCTGTGTGGCGCGAATCATCTTGGTCGGTATGATATCTCGCCCTCGGTCCAATGAAGGCAACGTCCAATCCACGGTAACCTAGCTTGCCATTGAACACGACGTAATCTGTTTGACTCCTGACCAGTCCTCGATTGAAACCATCGGCCGAGGTGGACGAGCCAAATGGGTACTTGGACTGAGCATAGGCTTTTGTGACGGCTTCGTCGGTGCTTCGAAAAAGTGCAGCCCGGCCCCCTGCACCCGCTCCCTCTAGATTGAGGAATGAGCTCACAACCATGGACATGGGATGCTGGCTGAAGACATTTGCTCCGTTTAAAAAGTCCTCCTCGCCGTTGTTCAGGATGAGCACCACTCCATTTTTCGGTGTGTTTGCGGGTGTCGTAAAGTATTTGAGTAGTTGCAACACGCAGACGACTCCGACGCCGTCATCTGTAGCGCCGAAGCCCGTAGAGACACTGTCATAGTGCGCATTCACCAAGACTGCATTGCGTTTGGATGGTTTGCCCTCCGGATCGAGCCACCATGTTGTTTTGTCATCTTCCTTTCCTGGTATATAGACGATGAGGTTGGTGCCCTCGAAGTAGACCGACACGCCCGGGCCAGACAGAATTCCAGCGGAAGAAAAGGTGAGATTGGAGGTATTGTCTTCGAAAATGTATGGAGCAGCATTGTTTTCTTTTGCAATGGACTTGATCCGTTTGAGGAGCCACTCGTGGACTTGGTCGTTGCGACGGCTGTTGTAAGGATGGTAAGACGCAGTGAGAAGCTGCAGGTCCAGCCACGCTTCTGTCAGATTAATGCCATGGATGGGAGTAGGCGAGGAGGGAGGGGATGGGACAGTCGTATGGGCGATGAGGAGAGCAACAATAACAACGAGGTAAATAATCGACGTGATGATGGTGACGGGCCAACGAGTGAAAGCGAAAGGATTGGAGAGCCTCGCCATGGCGGACGAAACACGAATCCAGCGGTCAAGGCATTGGGGAGAAACTAGTCAATACAACCATTTCATGTGGCGTGGAAGGGAGTAGTTAGTAGTAGGCGAATGCGCAGGCCGATGTAGAAGGAAGAGAAAACCTATTATTATGAGGTTCTCAAAAGAAGCGCATTGGAGGGTTTCTGCTCCCCGCGCGCCATTACGCACTGCACATGCAAATCATCCTTGCAGGCAAGCTGCTACTCGAACAGCCAATAGTGGACTGTTAAAATGCCAAGGCATCTTTCCATATTTGGCACTAGCGTAATTTCTTGGCAGGCCCCAATCCCTCCTTGTGATACGGCGGAGCATTTGTTGGCCTGATTCCGCTCTTCTTTCTCAGGTGCAACAGCCACTATATAACTCTGAAGGAGAACATGGTAGCACAGCCGATATGTAAAGCTAAGTTTGAGAAGCGTTCTGCTACCCGAGCCCTTGTCTATGTTCTCATTGCTACTCGTCGATGCCTCGGCATTGCAATGATCCTGTCGTATCAACACTGATTCAGGTTGGTTTCGACGTCGAGTCGAGAGAAGGTCGTTCTGCTAGTCTCGTCCTCCAGGCTGATCGACGCGACCCAGCAGCTCGATCTACCTCACTTGGCACACGGAATAGCATTGAGTGCCGTGCGTGCTCGCTGACTGCTCAGAGGTACTTTTCTACCGATACTGATTGGCGGTCTCGCCGAAACCCAACGGACAAGGACCAACATATCAGGCTTCGAGATATAGTGATTAACAGCAAGCCAAGGATGTTCCTCGCCCGGCGCCGCACCCTTGTCCCGACTCTGTGAGAGTGAAGCACGCCACCACTTCCGGCCGATCAATTTCTCCAAACAGATAAACAGGCCAGGACCCAGATAACAAGACGATGAGACCGATAAACCCCCGCCAGGAAGCCCCCAGTGTTTTCGGCCAGGGTGGTGTAAAGGATGAAATTAACCATCCGGATAACGCTTGCAATATTTCCCATTGTGCGGCGCCGTGGACAATGGATGTCGATTGCTCCGGAACAGCTACCTAGGGAGAGAGAGAGTCCTAGGGCTGAGACGGCACGCGAGAGGCTGTCATAACTCGAGACAAGAGAATTATGTGGGCGAAGACTTTCAGATAGACACGAAGCAGCCAAAGAGTACCACGGTCGAAAGCGGATAACGGCGAACAGGTTGAACGCCTCGATAAAGACCTGTTCTTCTATGGTTTCTGCTTACCCCGACACGACACGAACTCCCGCGGCCAGGCTGAACCTGCTCGTGCCTGGGACATGGGTCAGTGGACGTGACACCTAGCACCATCACTGAATCGTTACTAAAGCCGTGTCTAGTGGTGACCAGTACGGGGGCTGCTGGTATCTAGA